TGCTATTTTTATTCCATGAGCCTTAGATGATTGTATCTTGATTTGTTTCATTTTGTTTTCATTTCCTAAAGTTTTTATTAGTAAATGGCTATGCCGGGTCAATGATCAATTTATGTTTTGTTGGGACTACATTTTCTCTTTTTCGTTTTGTATTTTAGGTGTGTGCAAACCACATTGTAGTTTGTCCGCATCACATTTCTGGTATGTAGGAATCTGCTGCGCGATATACACTGTCACATTTTGCTATGTGCATGATAATAATGACGTCTGTGAAATAATAGAATTTCAGCATAACGCATGCGCCTTATACCTCGAATGCACACTGTCACCAGCATTACGCACACACTGTCACCCGTGTGCGCACAGGCCATAGATTGTGAAATAAAACCTAATTAGCAAATATCTACGTGCTCATTCCTATGCATCCACCTACTTCATTAATCACACACCAGTTTAATGCGCACGCCTTTATTACCGTTTTATTTTAAAATGCAATCTTACAACGGTGTGTGCATTTTGCACACGCCATACCATAAAAATGCACACACCAGTGTAAAAACAAAACTAAAAAAACGACATGATGCTAAGTTCATTTTACAAAAATTTGCAAACGCCAAATCATACAAATGCACACACAAGCGTAAAAAAAATAAAAATAAAAAACTATTAATTTTTACAATATATTCCTTGTAAAACAAGCGAACCACAAGAAATCACGCACAAGAAAAGGCATGTGCATATAGTGGTTGCATATTATAAGGATTGTGGTTGTGATTTTTTTTTTCACAATCTTTCACAGGCGAAATACACTCATTGTTGTCCATGCATCCTCCCGTCAACCTATCGGTTTCACAAACTGACCTGTATGCAACCACCTGAACACACACACGCTACGCACATAACAGATATTCTAGTTCGTCCACCAACCCCCACCCCCTCCCACCATCCCAGCGGAAAAACCCCCAATATTCAGCGTATGCACAGACGATGGCACATAAATGCACTTACCTGTTCGTTTTCTCCTCAAGCCTTGTTCACGCCAAGTTCACCTCATCAGCCTTTGTAGTAATTCAAAGTATTAATTTCCATCCATAAACTCCCTAATTTAATGCTACAGATTCCAATAATATTATGTCCATAAATAAATTAGAATTACAATTACTAATATATCCTTTACATTGGAAAATGTCTTTAATTACTACCCAAATCTCTTATAATCTCAACCACTGATAAAAATTGAATCAATGGATATTAGGAGGCCTCATGGTCTCATCTATTAGAGGGGGTGCACCGGATTCGAAGCCTATATATATATATATATATATATATATATATATATATATATATATATATATATATATATATATATATATATATATATATATATATATATATATATATATATATATATATATATATATATAGGGTTCCAATGAGAACACTTGCTTAAGTGAGAACGTGAGAACAAATCGTGTGCATTCATCTAATATTTTTTAATTGTCTAGATTAGAATAAATGTGTGCAAACGCGAATTAAATGTGTGCAAATGCACTTAACCGAGGACTTTGTATGGGTCCATATGCGGAAAGAGCGGTTTCCTTCCCAAAGGAAATCTAAGTTGCTACCCCGTGGTGATGGACCATTTCGTCTGCTTACTAGGCTCAACAACAATGCTTACACATTAGAATTGCCAAGTGAGTATGCAATAGTTATTGCGTGGACCGTGGTCCACACAGCTAAGTGAAGCTAATCAAGAATATGAAGATGTAGTTGAATTGAAGGTGGACCAGGTAGTCAATCTGATTTAGGCATAATTTGAAGAATAAAGATCGAGTGGAGGTTCATACGTTATAAATCAATACTTGGAGTATTTTTCTTGCAAATAAAAGTTTGAGACTATTTTAGACCGTCCTTATGCTATTTAATTTGTAAAGTCCAAATTAGGCTTATAAATCCTAAATTAAATGACTTTGTTATCCTAGTCTTGTTGCTAGTTGCATCTTTTTAGCTAGTCTAGCACTAGAATAACACATTTTGAACTTAAATGTCATTGATGTAAGGGCTAGCTAAAGTGTATAAATAACCATGCTATTATTTTTGTTAGACAGATAATTTTAACAGTAGTAAATTCAAGAATATTGGTTTGGCAATTTCTTTTCCTTGAGTTCATAAGGAGTAATTTGACTTATATTGAAATTTACTTTCTAAATGATGTTATTCTTATCTCTATCTATCTTTGGAGTGGCGAGACTTTGCACCACCACTTTCCTTCTTTTGCTTCCATTACCCAACCATTCTTCCTTAATAGCCGGAGCCCACAACTAGGGCTGAGCGAAATCCGAAGAAACCGAAAAAACCGATCGAACCGCTAACCGACCAAGCTAAACCGAACTGAACCGCTACCCGATTCGTAAAACCGAACCGTCATTTAAAACGACGTCGATTTACGGCTTTCGAGTGGGGGGGGGTTTAAAAAATCAACCCGATCCGTCCGAATACCCGATTAAAAGTAGGGTTACGTATGTAGAGTGCAATACGACGTCGTTTAGGCTTAGTGTATATATATATATATATATATATATATATATATATATATATATATATATATATATATATATATATATATGTTGCTACGGAGAACTTCTCATTTGCACATTCAGTCTCTTCTCTTAGGGTTTCCAGACGAGACCTTCTCTTCTCTCATTCTCTGAGACGTCTGAGATCTCTCTGGCTCTCTACGCAATCGCACCTTGCGATTTTCTCACTCCTCAGTTCTCTCTTCTCTCTTCTCTCCTTGTCCGGTTGGTTCTGTTATAGTCTTCTAGAGTTCTAGACGACGGTGGTCACTGACTCACTGGTGGAAGCCCTGAGGCCCCGACTGGTGTAGTGGTGCTGTGGTGGACGTGGACCGTGGACTAGTGGTGTCGTCGACTTCCAGTATATAGTATACAGAAGCCCTCGTTCTTCGGGGTATTTGTGAGAAAAGAAGTAACTTGCTGACCCTATTTTTATATATTTGCAGTTCTTAAATTTATTGTGATATATTATGTGGTCTCTGTGAATCTGTGATATTCTAGTGGAAGCACTGACTTTGTTACTGCAAAATGCAAACCCTAGTTTTGTAAAAGTTATTTGTTAAATTTATTGACATATTACTCTGAGTATATTGCAAATTTGTGAGTATTTTGTGTCTCTGACTTTCTGTGATATTGTGGTGGAAGCACTGACTTTTTATTAAAACTCTAGTGTTATAAAATTGATTTCAGAATGTGTGAATGTGTGATATGTTCTGTGATGTTCTGGTGGAAGCACTGACTGTGAGAAATTTGAATTGTTATAATGTTATGTCCCTAAAGGCTTAAATTGGTGGAAGCCCCATAGAAATCCTTTTAATGATGTTGATGAAATAAGCTGTATATATATTATAACAGTCTCTGATTCATCTAGATATTTAAAATATATCCCGAAAAATTTGGATTTCTTTGTATTGTCTGTTTATGGATGTATGCCCTCAATTGTATTTGTAAATTTGTATATGTAATTATGCATTCCTGTAAAATGATGACACAAAATGTGTCTGATTCTGGAATGATTCAATGATTTCATCAGTTTCATGCACTAATGTCTCATCTTGAATATGAGTCCTACTTTGTGTACTGATAGTTAACCATTTTTTAGATTGAAAATATCAGTATGCCTGGTAGTCAACCTCCCAACTCTTCAACTGAGGGAAATACAAGGTTGGAAGCCCAAACTGTTGAGCAAAATAATCAACAGAATGTGCAACCTCCTGCAGTTCCTGATAAGAAGAGAAAACAGGTTGATTCCAGATCTTTAGTATGGGATCATTTTGAGAAAAAAAAAAGTGTTGGTGTTACTGTGAAAGGAAAGTGTATTTATTGTGCAAAAGTATATCCTTGTGAGAGTAAAAAACATGGTACATCTTCCTTGAGAAACCACATGGTGAGTTGTATGAAGAACCCTCACTCTAAGGAAACTAGGCAATCCCTTTTAACATTTCAAGCTGTTACATCTTCTGATTTATCTCAACCTTCTGTGGGGGAAATAGGGACCTATGTATTTAATCAAGAATCAATTAGAAGGGCCTTGGTTGAAATGATAATCATAGATGAACTGCCCTTTAGATTTGTGGAGGGAATAGGCTTCAAGAGGTTCATTGCTATTGCTTGCCCTAGGTTTATAGTTCCATCTAGATGGACTATAAGTAGGGACGTCCTACTGGTCTATGAAGAAGAGAGACTGAAATTGAAGGCATTCTTAAGGGGTAGCAGTCATAGGGTTAGTATCACCACTGACTCATGGACATCCATCCAAAGGATTAACTACATGGTAGTTACTGCCCATTTCATTGATTTTGAGTAGAAGCTCCATAAAAAAAATCTTGGCATTTGTCCTTGTTACCTCTCATAAAGGTGAATATCTAGCCAAAGCCCTAGAAACTTGTTTGCTTGAGTGGGGGATTAGGGATGTTTTGAGTGTGACTGTTGATAATACCTCATCCAATGACACTGCAATGGGGTTTCTAAAGACTAAAATTGTGTCTTGGGGAGCATCTACTGTGAGGGCAAAGTATATTCACATGAGATGCATTGCTCATATCTTGAACTTGGTAGTGCAAGATGGTCTGAAATACTCTGATAGTTCTGTGAAGAAAGTCCGGGAGGTGGTTAGATATGTTAGAAACTCTCCTGCTAGGCTTAAGAAGTTCAGGGATTTGGTTGATTTGTTGAGTATTGAACAAAGGTCTTCTTTGTGTTTAGATGTTCCAACCAGATGGAACTCTACCTATTTGATGTTGCAATCTGCATTGAGTTACCAGAAAGTATTTGAATCTTTGGAATCTAATTATTCATTCAAGTTTGACTTGGGAAATTCTATTCCTAATTTTATGGACTGGGAATCAGTTGGTGGTTTAGTGAAGATATTAAAATGTTTTTATGAAATGACAATCAGAATTTCTGGTTCTTTGTATTTCACATCTAACACATTCTTCACTGAGATTTCTGATTTGTACTGCATATTGAAGAGCATGGTGGAAGCTGATGGGACAGTGAGTGTTATGGGGAAAAATATGAAGGAAAAATTTGAGAAGTATTGGAGTGATGTAGACAAAATGAATCTAATGATTTTCTTTTCAAACATTCTAGACCCCAGGGATAAATTGGAGTATATGCCTACTCAACTTAATCATATGTATGGTGAGGGAAAGGGTAAACCATACTATGAAAAAGTACTTGTTGGTTTGACTGAGTTATTTGATGATTATTCTGTCAATTCTGGTGTCTCTTCTGTTCCTGCTTCTAGTCAGTCTCCATCTATCTCTGTTGGTAGTGATTCCTCTGTATCTGCACATGCCTTTGTTGGTATGCCACAACATTTCCACAAGTCCCAAATTAAAAAAACAAAGATGGGAGTCTGGGGGTAAGAAAAAAACTGAGTTGGATGTATACTTGAGTGATGCAGTAGTTGAAGAAGAAGGCTCCTTTGATATACTTAGATGGTAGAAGATTAACTCTGTTAGGTTTCCTATACTGTCTAAGCTTGCTAGGGATGTCCTAGCCATCCCAATCTCAACTTTTGCCTCTGAATCTGCCTTCAGTACATCTGGGAGAGTATTGGATCATTTTAGGAGTTCCATTAACTCCAAAAATTGTGGAAGCTTTGGTGTGTACACAGGATTGGCTTAGAGAGCAAAATACTCCTTTATGTATTGAGGAGAACCTGGAAGAGTTGGAGAGGTTTGAAAAAGGTAAAAAAGTTTAGACTACATTTCCTTGACTTTTTTCACATTTTACAATTTACATTATTATTTCTTTTTGAAAATGAAAGATGATATATTAATAGCTCAAACCAGAATAGTTTGCAAGTACATAGGAAGAAATAAAACGGGGCATAAAATCACAGTACTCAATTATCTCCTCCCCAGAATTACGCAAGGCATATTTCGCTAAGATATGGGCTGGAACATTTGCAGCTCGCTTTACAAACACAAAACGAACCAAAGGAAGAAGCTCCAACTGCTTACGAATGTCATTTATAATAGCACCAAAGGGGGTGTAATTTTGTCCGGCGTGTACGGCATTTGTCACCACTTGCGCATCCGTCTCAAGCATTACCCGCGACCAGCTCTTCTTCCTTATCCAACTTAGCGCCTCTCGCGCCCCAATAGCTTCAGCCTCCCTAACAGAATATAGTCCCTTAATCTGGAAGATCGTCGTTCCCTTCACTACCCCTTCCGCATCACGTACGATCCATCCATAACCCATTATGCGCTGCTCAGCATCCAAAGCTACATCAATATTCAACTTGTAATAATCTGGAGGGGGTAGCTGCCAATTTACATTCTGTACATGCTGCATGGCAGTTCCATAGGGCCTAGCATTTGGTATTCCTTGTGCCATTTTCCAGTTCTGAGCATAACTCAACGCCATACTCACCAAAGTTCTAGGATCAATACTTTGTTTGCTCCAAACCATAGCATTTCGATTCTCCCATATTGCCCAACATATAATCACAATCTTCTCCACTATCTCCTTTGGTAAAACAGTCCACATCTCCTCTAACCACAAATCAATCGAAACAGCAAAGCCCATATTCCACCCCGACGCAATCTCGTTCCAACACTGATGTGCAAAAGCACAATTTGCAAATACATGGACCACTGTCTCCGGCTCCGTTCCACACAATGGACATAAATAATCGCAAGCAACCTGTTTAACAAGTAATGCATCCTTAGTTGGCAATTTTTTCATACACATGGCCCAGAAAAAACATTTTATCTTTGGGGGTAATTGGAGTTTCCAAACTGCAGCCCATGGCAATTTTTGGTTATGATTCATATCACCACAAGCTAACCTATATGCACTTTTAACAGAATAAAGTCCAGTGTCCTCCCACCCCCAATACATTGAATCAGGCACAGGTTCGGGTGGAATAGGCATGTTTAAGATCAGTTTCGCATCCCGTGGATCAAAAATATCATTGATAAGTTCCGTATCCCATTTCTGCATATCCACACATAAAATAGACTGGACCATAGGATCAGTACCAAAATTATGCTGCAGAGTCATAACATAAGGATTCTGTGGATCTGGAAGCCAAGGATTGCCCCAAACTTTCACTGTACCACCATCCCCAATCCTCCACCGGACTCCCCCACTCAACAACCCTTGCGTTTCCCTAATGCTTGACCACACGAAAGATGGATTTGATCCCACCCCTGCCTCCAAGAAAGAACATTTGGGGAAGTATCTAGCCTTAAAAACCCTGGTCACTAACGCATCTGGCTCGTGTAAAAATTTCCACCCTTGTTTCCCCAACATGGCTAGGTTCATCTCTCGTACCCTTCTAAACCCCATTCCCCCATAGTGTTTTGGTTTACATAAGTCCCCCCAAGTACTCCACCGAATCCCCTTTCCCCCTCTCCCCTCACAACCCCACCAAAATGAGTTCATTAGCCGCTCAATATCCTCACAAAGCCCCTTCGGTAACAAAAAAACGTTCATAGCATAATTTGGGATGCTTTGAAGAACTGTTTTTAAAAGTATCTCCCTACCCGCCCGGGACAGAAAACGATTTCCCCAATGCAATATCCTATCCCGAACCTTCCCTTTTATGAATCCCAAAATCTCTCGCTTCCTCCTCCCTACATACCCCGGGAGCCCAAGGTATTTTCCCCTCCCTTGCTGTTCGTGTGCTTCTAAAGTTTCACAAACAGCCTCCTTATCCTCCCTATGAACATTGTTACCGAAGAGAATCGAAGTTTTGGCGTAATTAACCTGCTGGCCACTCGCAGCCCCGTAGTCCTCTAAAACATCTCTTAACACCCTTGCCTCAAAACTGTTTGCTTTGAAGAAAAATAGACAGTCATCGGCGAAAAAAAGGTGAGAAATATGGGGTGCATTTCTCGCAACAGAAATCCCATGGAAAATCCCTTCCCTTTCCCGATCTCTCAACATTGCACTCAGACTTTCAGCTACAACAATAAAAAGACATGGTGAGAGCGGATCCCCCTGCCTTAGTCCCCTCTCAGGGATAATCGGGCCCCATTCCTGCCCATCTACCAAAACCTTATAGCGGACAGACGACACACACTCTTTCATTAGACCAATCCACCTATCACTGAACCCCAATTTCTGCATAACTTTTCCCAAGAAACCCCACTCAACTCGGTCATAAGCCTTACTCATGTCAATTTTTAAAGCACAAAAACCCCCTTTACTACCCCTGTTTCTATTCAAAGCATGAGTAGACTCAAACGCAATCATAACATTGTCAATAATGGAACGCCCCGGGATAAAAGCACTTTGAGCGGGAGAAATAATAGAGTCCAACACCCCCCTAAATCTATTTTCCAAGACTTTTTCTAGGATACGATATAACACATTACAAAGGGATATAGGGCGAAACTCAGACATCAACTCTGGGTGTTTTGTCTTTGGGATTAGGACAATGTGAGTGTCACTTACTGAAACAGGTAACTGACCGGAGGTAATAAAGTTTTGACAAAAGGAAACTACCTCATTTTCCAGGATATCCCAATGCATTTGGAAGAAGCCTGGAGACAAACCATCCGGGCCCGGAGATTTGTCCGGATGCATTGCGAACACTGCTTCACGCACCTCGGCTGGGGTAATCTGTTTCTCCAGGTTATCATTCTGCTCTGTCGTAACTTTTTGTTGCACACACTCAATCACCGGCCTTATCTCCCCCTCCTGACCCTTAAAAAGTTTGGAAAAATACTCCACAACCACTTCCCTCATCCCGGCTTCATCTGTGACCAAATTCCCTCGAGAGTCTTTCACCCCCGTTAGCCTATTTCTACGCCTTCTACCATTTATAGAATTATGGAAGAAACGAGTATTACAGTCCCCCCCCCCCCCCCCCCCTTATACCACCAATCTTTAGCTCTCTGCTTCAGCCGCTCACAGTGAGATTGTTGAAGGCTCAAGTATTGACGTTGAAGCGCACCGAACTCCCTCACCCCGTTTGGGTCTACTGCCCCTCGCAGGGTCCCCATCCGTGACTTACATTGCTCAATCTCCCTCACTTCCCTAGTCATCTGTTTTCTACCCCATTCACATACCCTTCCGCCACAGCCAAGTAATCTGTCAGCAATGGGGACCCCTTCCAACGCCGTCCACGCAGACTCCACCACAGCCTTGCACTCAGGAACCTTACCCCATGAATTTTCAAACCTAGTCCTCCTTCTAAACCTTCTTCCACCCACAGTGTTTATCCGCAGAAGTAAAGGCATATGGTCACTGCTGCTCCCTTCGACTGACCATGCCTTTGCCTCTGGAAACAAATCCCTCCAACCCCCAGACACTAAAATCCGATCAAGCTTCTCGCTCACCCAATTTGGTGTTCCCCTACCACGCTCCCATGTATATTGATACCCCCCAAAAGGGAAATCAAATAACCGGCTTGCCCTAACCGCTTCCTTGAACCCCCTAATTAGCCATTTAGGGTGTGGTACCCGCCCCACCTTCTCCCTTTCATCCAAAATATCATTTAGATCCCCCCTTAGGGCCCATGGAAGATCACTTTGAGAAGATAGGTACCTTAACAGCTCCCAAGATACTTGGCGTCGACTTCTGTCAGGGTTGCCGTAGAACCCCGTGAACCGCCACCGTACCCCTCTCTGAGTGATCTTTGTGTCAATGTAGTGGTTGGAGTAACCAACCACCTCCACATCCAATCCCCCATTCCAAAGTAGAGACAAACCCCCACTCCTCCCCGTCGACTCCACCGTAAAACAATTGTCGAACTTTAATTTAACTCTCACATACTCCATTCTCGTCGTACCACTCATAGTCTCAGTTAAAAAAAGAATGTCAGGCTTGTATTTAGTGACAAAGCCCAACAAAACATGAACTGCCATAGGATTTCCAAGCCCACGGCAGTTCCAACTAAAACAACTTATTGGGCCGGGTGGGCCTGGAGTCCAGGTCCCACCTCATCAGAATTATTCTGACTTTCAATAACCATTGGGCTAGCCCACTTCTCAACCCCCCCTTCCTTTCCTACCCTGCGCCGTTTCTGGTCAACCACCACTACCCCCTCATCCTCACAATACTCATTACCCGTATTTAAACTGACATTACTAACATTTATATCTCCCTTTGAGCTTGGAGAAAACGTCTCCTCCCCCACGTCCTTCATTAATTCCCCATTATGGAGAACCGTTACATGCGTTGTGCTCTCCCCCTTCCCCTTCTCCACCGCAACGGACGTCGCGACCGGCTCCTCCAGGACAAGCCACCTGTTCGTCGGCGCCGCCACAGATCCTTTTCGCCCTCTTGCTCTCAACCAAGGGCCAAACCGCTTCTCACCCTCAGCCACTGGCTTATCAGCATCCACTGCACAAAACTTATCTGCATGACCGATTACACCACACGTAAAACAAAAAGACGGCAGGCGCTCATATCTGAGATCGATCCAAAACCATTCAGCACCCGGCCTCTTCATCTTCATCTTGGCCATCAGAGGTTTTGTCACATTTATGAATGCCCGGACTCGCATGAATGCACATCCCGTTTCGGCAAAATTTCGCAGCTCTGCACTTTCAAACACACCAACATGATTCCCTACTACCTTTGCCACCTTCTCAGACATAAAACCACCAGGGAGGTTGTGGACCTGTATCCAAAAAGCAGTCGTATCCAGTGGAACTGTTTTTGGATTATCTCCGTCATTCAAACGACGAAGGAGGACGAGATTCTGATCAAACGTCCAAGGGCCGTCCCTCATAATCCTAGAGATATCCTTTTCACAATAAAAAAGGAACAAAAAACGATTTGAACCCAATTCACGAACCATCACTCCCCTCACCGGCTTCCAAGCGGTTGCCATGACGTCTCGGAAAATCACCAATTTAACGGATTTATCCGTAACGACACGGCCAACTGCTGCATATCGGTAATTGAAAGTTTGTTGTGGAACATCATCGATCTCTACTATGACACCGTCATCGTCATCAACAATCGACAAAGCTTCGCACGCATCGGTCAGATTACTAGTACTGCCTTTCTCCATCGTTACCAGCAAAAAAAGAGAGAAGGGACACACTCACACAGAGAGAGGGAAAGACTCACACGTTTAGAAAACGGAGAGAGGAAATTATTTCCAATAACCTCTGCTACCCAACTCAACCTAAACAATGAAACTAATCTTTCTGTCTTTCTGTGCTTTTGGTTTTTTTCATTATTATTTCTAAGTTCTAATTATTTGAAAATTGCTTATTTTTGCAGAGTTAAGTGGTGAAGGTGGAAGTGGGAGGTTTCTTGGTTCTATACTGGCTACGATTCCTGTAATGTTATTCTTTACATTACTCATTTACTCAATTACTTGTGTCTGATTTATTGCAATATTTATACTATTTGACTCAATTGCAATCTAATCTCTCACTTGGTATTTTTTGAGGGTCATGGTAACTGATTTTATTAAGTTGCTGGCTTGAATGCTTGATGCCTTGATCATTTGCTTGCATTGGACCTCTGTAAGTATGAATGTATGATAATGGTAACTGGTAAGGGTGCATAAATTTGCTGGCTTGTGAAGGCTTGGTAACTTTTTCTAAGTTGCAGCCTCAAGTCCCATGTGCATCTGCTATTTTGGTAAATGGTAATCTGGTTGGTAATGTTTATATTTTACTATGTGTGTCCATCTGTCCCTTTTTCCACAGCAATGATGAAGCTTCCACCTTTAATCTGAAAAGGATTAAGTTGATAAGTTGCTCTAAACTTATTGTTTATTGTAGCAATTTGCCCTTAATCCAAAATTGATATGGAAAAATGTTTACTGAGCCAACTATGTAATAATATAAATATATATAAATCCATTTTCTGTGTTTAATTTACAATTATAATCCATTCACTAACTTGTTACTTGTCACAATTCACAGGAAGAAGAGTAGCTGGCTGACTTAACTCTATCTTGATTCTTGCTGAATGCTGATCTGATTGACTGCTTGTCTGCTTGACACTTCACTACTTCACTGTTGTAGTGTTGTGTATTTTGTAATAGACTAATGACTATTGACTAATCTGTATTTTGCATTTTTGTGTAATCCATCCTTTTGCTGATAGACTACTTAGTAATACTAATTACTAAGTTAGTATTACAAGCTTAGTCTATTAGAGATTTAGAGGCTTAGAGCTTTTAGTTTTGCTATTTTACTTATTAATTGCTATTTTACTTTTAGTTTTGCACTTTTATTTTTCCAAGTAATGAACTTTTTAGGTTTTTTTTTTTTTTCCTTTTTTTTTTTTTAAAAACTGACTTATCACCCGATCCGATTTGCATAAAAACCGAACAGATAAATATCATTAATACAACGGGTAGGGTAATCAAAACATCAATCCGATATCCGTTCGGATTTGCCCTTCCGCCATCCGATCCGAACCGATCCGTCCGCTGTACACCCCTACCCACACAACTGTGCATCTTTCTATTATGTTAATTTGTAGATACACATGAATTTACCTCAACAACCAAATTATCCCTTCAATTATCTGTACAAGAAAACAGCAACATATAGTGATCACCTTTCAGGTTATAACTTGGTAATTAACACAGTGAGTCGGATGGGTGATAATATATATAATATTGTAAATAATGTTACAGAACAAATGGGGAATTAGAGATATAAGCTGCAGAATCACAGAACCAAAAGCCATGCAATTCATCACTGCAGTTTTACATTGCCTCTTGACCTTGTCAAGTAAACCAATCAGCTTAACAACATTAGTACTTGTAGCTAGTTCAAAACCATTTAACATCCTCTCCTAAGATGAAAATAAAGCCAACATGGCTAGATTTGGGATACACATTCTCATCAGATGGAAATCTATCAACCTCCTATATTTGCAGCCTGCATTTATTGAACTATTCAAAACCGGTCCAGCAATACTGCTTCTATCTAATGCATTTTTTGAAACAAGCTAAGCTAGGCAATTACGATAATGATAGCACTTGGAATTGAACTACGTTAATGAAGTTACGTTATTAGAATGCATCTAACAACAAACCTTGCATTGTCATTTAGCATCTTATCAAAATTGAAGGTCCCATTCAGTATCTAAGTGCATACCATTTTCTAACAATAGTTAATTCACTGTGATCTCCACCAAGTCCTATGATCTTCTTCAACTGGATACGGTCATTCCTCACATTCAAACCCGTCAATTTTGATCTATGAAAGAATGAAACGATATCAGAAAAAAAAAAAAAAAAAAAAAAATAGTAACAGCTTCAATTTTGTAAAGAATGTAAAAGAAAATAAAAATTAAGAATGAAGCATCAAGCATGATGTAGCCTCTAACCTCAAACATTCTTCTTCGTAATGGATGCAGCCCTTCTAGAATGAGAGACAATTGAAACTAAAATTAGAGAGATTAATTAAGCTCCCTTCTTAAGCAGATGCAACATGCCAATTCAATTACCACCGTTAAAAATGCCTCTAAGCTAAGAGAGATTAAGCCCACTCAATCTCAACTTCTGCAGTAGGAGGAAACATATATAGAGTGATGGGAAGGGTTACAGTGAAGCCAATAGAAACTAAAATCGTTAGCTTCTCGATCAAGCCCCTCCATATCAAGATTATCCAAATTGATGGATTGCTGCAGTCAAGATTACAGTGTAGCCAATAGAAACTCACCATCGCATGCACAATGCTCGAGTTTATTAGCTTGAAGAAGCAAGAATCTTGGTCTACAGAATTCTCCATACATTTCCACAGAAGGCATTCTCCAAGTCACTGGTAAACCTTTTCAAACTCTGCTCACTGCCGTGTTTACATTGAAAAGAATGCAACAAACACATCATCATCATAAAAACAAATTGTAGAGGTGTAAGCTTTGTGAGATAATTTCATTCTGTGATTCTAGAGAAATACAGCTCCCCATTTTTTATTTCATGCTGTTAGTTATTGGAGAATTGTACGTTTGGTTCATTTATCCTAACAGAAATAGTAGTCCTATTTTATCTTCGAATTAATAGAATATAATTAGTAGTTGATGATTGTGGTTCAATAGTTATGAAATTAAAGTACAGAGCAACATCAGCCTAACATAATTTCCCAGTTAACAAACTTTTCATTCTCTGTTGGGGAAAGGCAAGCTTATTCTGTAACATCTTTGAAGAATACGATTTTTGCAAGAAATTTCAAGAGCATGATGCATCTGTAGTCTAGAGCACTCAGTAGTTTAAAAGAAAATGGTAAAAAGAAAAATTAACATGAAGACTAACTACAGGATTTGAAAACCCTCTCCTAGAAACCAAGATCACGGTAAAATCTTTCATTTGATACCTTACACAATGCATGCATGAAATGGATGTAATGAATCTCATGAAGAAGTTTTTAGAATTATAGTTAGCCTTGCACATCAATATTAATCAGTCAAGTTTAGACGGAAGCAATTCCCCTTACCTAGCTACCTGTTGATCTTCAATACTTGAGACAAGCATCGCAGCTTCAATTCCTAACTTGAAAATATTTAAAAAAAAAGGTATTCAATTAGCATATACCAATCTGCAAAAGCATATTTGTACTTGGGATTAATTGCATTCTTGAGGAGTCATTCTTGGGATATTTCAGTACCATCTATACAATAGTAATCATAATGATGACAAAGTTTATTGCATTCTTGAGGAGTCATTAACTTTTAAGTTTTAACCAAAGAAAGTAACTAATACTACAGTGAGTAACTATACAAGCCTGACTCTAGTGTAAGCCCAAACTAGGATTGTATAAAGTGGGATGTAACTCTAGAAAATGCAAAAAGTACACAATTCAAAAATCATCACTTGTAACCTAAAACATACCATTTTCTAACAGTTATATACTATGAGGCTGCCCAAGTTATCTTACATAGACACTTCTATATGTGTATTCAGTGATTCCTCATATTTAGGATCCAGAATTTTGATCTGTGAAAAATAATGCAAAAAACAAAATGAGATCTGAAAAATAAAATAGTAATTGATTTTGTAAAAAAAAAGAAAAAAAAAAAAAAAAAAAAAAAAAAAAAAAAAAAACAGCATTGAATAGAAAAGAAATAAATGTTAAGAATGAAATACGCTAGCTTTAGCATTGAATAGAAAAGCAAGCTTGAATATTAAAATCTGTAATTCTCAAACTTTTTTAGGTTTGCACATTTAGTATTAACATTTTGCATATTTAGTATTAAAAGATTACACTTGCAAAAATGTGAAAGTGTGGAAATATTATAATTGATATGTGAAAATATTTGATTGATATGCATATATTCTTAGGATCTGTAATTAGTGATATGATTTTATTCTTTCCTAGTTTAGTGATCCTTTTTATTTACTTTCCCTGATTATAGGATTCTCTTCCCTATAATCAATCTTCTTCTTTGTATAAATTAGAGCTTGTATTTTCCAATTGTAAAGAAGAACTATTCAGAATTTCTTACATGGTATCAGAGCCTGACTCTAAACCCCTATCTCTTCTCTATCCTCCCTCACCAAATCTCTCCAGCAACTATGTCTAAACCTATTGAAACCCTTCCAGTTGATTCCTCACCGTTAGATGGGTCATCACATCCTTCTCACTCGACTATCAAAAATTATCTTAACCTTCCTCAAGTCCTTGCTTACCGTGAATTTTCCAGCAAGTCTCACGATAATGTGGCTGCAACCTTTGAAACATCACCCAATGGAGTCAGTCCTTTCTCGAAAATTAAGCTTGAGGCGCTGCAAAAGCTTTTTGGGCAGATATCTGTTGCACAACAGTCAATCCCACCTTCCGCTGAAGCACATGTTAGTATGATGAGTCATCAAGGTACCACTTCTCACACATTGGCTGCAAATTCAAATAACACAAGTCCTTGGATTGTGGATTCCGGGGCATCCGACCATATGTCAGGTGATTTAAAGGTTTTTCACACATTCAAACCTTGTACCAATCCCACCATGATCAAAATTGCTGATGGATCCCTCTCTAACGTGATAGGAATATGATCTGTCAAATTAACTGATGAACTTTTTCTTTCATCTGTTCTCTTTGTTCCTAAATTAAGTTGCAACCTTCTTTCCATTAGTAAACTCACTAGAGACATGAATTGTGTAACTAAATTCTATCCCAAGCTTTGTGAATTTCAGGTTCTGGGCTCGGAGAAGGTGATTGGCAGTGCTGAAATTTGCGATGGTCTCTATATTCTCAAAAACACTCCTGAAAGTAAACATTTCCCCAAGTCAAATTATGGTTTCAATTCTGTTTCTGTCTCCAATGAGAGTCTAGTCATGTTGTGGCATTTTCGCCTTGGACATCCAAATTTTGTTTATCTTGAAAAACTGTTTCCTGGTTTATTTATCAATAAAAAACTCAAGTTTTTTCATTGCGAAGTGTGTCAACTTGCAAAACATACTCGAAGCATTTATTCAAGCAATCCTTACAAACCTTCTCAACCTTTTTCGTTGATACATAGTGACATTTGGGGGCCTTCAAGGGTGAAAAATGTTAATGGTTCTAGATGGTTTGTATCCTTCATTGATGACCACACTAGGACCTCATGAAAGAAAAATCAGAAACTGCATCAATTTTTAAAGCTTTTCATTCCATGATTCAAAATCAGTTCAAACAAAAAGTCAAAGTTTTGAAAACTGATAATGGGACAGAATACTACAACTCAATTCTTGGTCCATACTTGTTAGATCAGGGAATTGTCCATATTAGTTCCTGTGTCAACACCCCTCAGCAAAATGGAGTGGCTGAGAGAAAAAATAGGCATCTCCTTGAAGTCTCTCGGTCCATCATGTTTTCAAATCATGTGCCTAAACACTTTTGGGGGGAAGCTGTACTTACTGCCACTTACCTCATAAACCGTATGCCTAGTAGTGTCTTAAAGTTCAAGACACCACGATCTTTGTTATTACAAGCATTCCCTCACCTCTCAGTTTTTTCCTCGGAATTGCCACTCAAAATTTTTGGTTGTACTACTTTTGTCCATATCTGTAAGATATATTAAATATAATATATATATTATATATAATATATCTATGTATTTATATATAATAATATATAAATAGGAAGAGAGAGAGAGAAAGATTAGAATGAATAATGTTTATTCACTGGGATGATTTAACAAATGAAAATACACCACATATTTATACTAAGAGAAAGCTAATAAATAGGAAGCTAATGCTCCATGTACTACTCCTATAATCTAGGCATGTTCCACATTAACATACATGACTCACCCATGTTTGTTTTTATTAAATTCTTTGACTTGGTTTAATTACTAATAATATTATTATTATAACATTGTCTCCTTTAAACCAAGTTGGATATATTGGTCATCCCAATTTCCTTCTTTAATTTGAAAAAATGTCTCCGTCTTCAAGTTGGATATACTGACTTGTATTTCGTTTTGTAAACCCACTTGACTCCAATTGGCTTCTTCCCAGGAGGTAAATTTGTTAACTCCCAAGTACCATTCTTTTCAATGGCACGTATCTCCTCATCCATCGCCTTAAGCCAATGAGTTTCTGTAGTAGCCTCCTAAAAAGTTAAAGGATCACAATCTGCAAAGAGAGCAAATTGAATAATCTCTTCATCAGACAGGTCATTATCATGACCCAAAACATAATCTTGCAAGCGAGCTGGTAAGTGGTGCTCGCGCTGAGATCGTCGAACTGACGACTCTGGCTGTGAAGGAGACTGGACATTATCTGGAATCGGTTGCTCTTCAACAATATTTTTAACAACAGGAATAACAACTGAACTGTCATCTTTAGCTAACCAATCCCAGGCACCATATTCATTAAAAGTAACATCACAACTTATAACAACCTTTTTAGTTTCAGGATTGTATAGTTTATAAGCCTTTGAAGCGTCACTATAACCAATGAATATGCACTTCTCACCTTTATCATCCAACTTCTTTCTCAACGGATCTAGCACATGTGCATATGCCAAACATCCAAAAACCTTGAGATATTTGATAGAGGGTTTTCTCCCACTCCAAGCTTCTTCGGGTGTCTTATCACGGACACTTTTAGTTGGACACCTATTCAACACATAGACAGCACAAGCAACAGCTTCTGCCCAAAAAGGCTTAGGCAGATTCTTGGATTTCAACATGCACCTTACCATATCCATGATAGACCTATTCTTCATCTCAGCCACTCCGTTTTGTTGTGGAGTGTATCTAGCTGTCATTTGGTGCTGAATACCCTTTTCTTTCAGAAATTCATCACATGCAATATATTCTGTACCTCTATCAGTTCTCAAAATTTTAATTTCATAACCACTATGCTTCTCAACAAAAGCCTTAAATTGTTTGAAAACATCACATGCTTCAGACTTTTGCTTCAGAAAGTAAACCCATGTTTTTCTACTGAAATCATCAATGAAAGTAATAAAGTACTTACAACCTCCATGTGAGGGAACCTCCAACGAACACAGGTCTGAGTGAACAATCTCCAACTGTTTTGTAGCTCTCCTTGACTTGCCCACGGGAAAGGGATCTCTATGTTTCTTCCCAATCACACAAATCTCACAGATACGATCAGGGACATTCACAACAGGTAAATCAGAAACAAGTTCCTTTCTCGCAAGATAGTTTAACCCAGAGAAATGAAAATGCCCAAACCGCATATGCCATAACCAATTATCATCACAAACTTCAGAATTAAAGCAATCAAGGAGAGTATGCTTAATTTTCAAAGGAAATAGTCGATTTTGGGACATATTTACCTTTGCAATCAAAACTCCTTTAGCATCTTCAATGGTACAACACCCCTGAGCAATATGTATCTTATATCCTTTTTCTGACAACTGACCCAAACTCAGCAAATTTTGGTGTAGTTCAGGAACATAGAACACATCGGATATAAAATTGCGAGTACTATCCTTCAACTGAATAGAGATTTTACCTTTTCCCAAAATTGGCACCTTTGACTTAGCCAAATGTCACTTCAGACTGGACTGATTCATCCAGTTCATAAAACAATTCTTTCTTCCCACACATATGGTTACTACACCCAGTATCCAAGAACCATATGTTCTTATCTGCAGAAAAACTATCGCTTGCTAAAAGTAAAGTTTCAGAACTCTCACCAGACTTTTGAGTAGTGTTTTCAGCAATATTTGCTTGATTTCCACGATTGTTGTCCTCATTATACCAACAATCTGCAATCTTGTGTCCATACTTGCCACAATTGTAGCAATGAAATGGAAATTTACCTTGTTTTGTATTACCTCCACCTCTTCCTTGGTTGGAGTTACCACGTCCTCCTCCTTGGTTGAAGTTACCACGACCTCTTCCACTAGAACCTCCTCTTCCTCTTCCACGACCTCTACCAGATCCTCCACCTCTTTGATTAGTGCCAGTCACATTAAGGGTGACTTGACTCTTCAAAGCTTCTTCTGCTAGTGGTTCCGACTTTGACGCAATTCTGTCAATATGACTTTCTACCATACCTTTCAGCTCTGCAATTGATAAGAGCTCGGTTTTGTGTGACTCTGTTATCGAAGCCACCACATGGTCATACTTCATCGGCATAGTTCGAAGAACTTTTTCAACCACTGCACCATCTTCAATCGTATCTCCATATAGCCTCATCTTATTCACCATATCAATAAGACGAGTGAAATACGCATCTACTATTTCTGTAGAGGTCATCTCACAATTATCGTACAACCTTCTCAATGACTGCAACTTAGACTTCTGTGCCCGATCGACTCCTTTGTTTGACACCTTTAAGATGTCCCAAGCTTGTTTTGCTGTTTGAGCACGAGCTAATTGCCCAAAAATGGAATAATGAACACCTTGGTGAATCTGACCCAAGGCCAATTTATCTCGCCGTATAGCGGCTGCATCAGCTCCTTCGGGTAGATCGGGATCAACAAAGCTCCAAAGATTTTGAGCTTGCAAATGTGTGG